CATCTGCCCCATAGAGATAGCACTGAGATGAGAGAGAAACTTGATCAGTCATCATAAATTCCACTAATACATAAGCAAACTCTTCTCGCAGGGCCTTGGCTCTTTTGAAGAGCCTGACTAGCAGATTTTTCATACATTTTTATACAGTACGTGCTAATAAATTACATTCTCTTTGATTATGCTTCTATAAAGCTATATAGGATTACTAAATCCCAGTGAGTAACAAATACTGCATTACTAAATTAGCCTGTCTGAGGGTAAAACGTAATTGCTACAAGGTTTAGTCGTTTCTCAAATTTAGTACGTTGTGAAGAAGAAAGAAACAGTAGAAACGTTCAGCTCTGCAAAGCTAAACAAACAGACATCCTGTGCTCCATTTTTGAATATCCTTAGATTAAAATAGACCATCAATTTAATTTTCAACACACTTGGCTAAAATGTTTTTTTGTAGTATGTTGAACAAAGGCCAAAGGACTGAATATCTTTTTGAAAAAACAGATTAGAAGATAACGAATGATAGAGTCATCCCAAAATAACTGCTTAGCTTTATTTGCAGACTAGAATCTCCTGCTCTCTGTGACTCTGTCTATGCCAAAATATGCCTGCAGAGCTACCACAATAAACATTCTGGTTAATGTATGAAAAGCATGCTATAGGAAAAGGTTTTGTCACCTACATCAACCAGTCATCTCCCAACTGTCTGACTATTTGTTATGGGCAACAAAAAATATTGCTGTTTGCACTATTCAAATAGGTCATCCCCATAGTGAAGTGTGAATGTACAGTAACCCAGGGGCGGACTGGGCCGGGGGGCGATTGCCCCCCGGGCCTCTCTGATGCCACCGCGAACGGCCCCTTGACCCCCGGCCGCTGCCACCTGCACCCGGCCGCCCGCCCTCCGCATCCGACGCGGCTCTGTGAATGCTGCAGCCGCTGCTCACATTGTTGTGTAATGTATTGCTTGGAATTGTAGTTCTCTATAGCCAATGCCATTCTGCAATGCTGTACAATGTATTTCTGAGTTAGTGGCAGAACTACCAGGGTCGCAGAAGTCATGCACCCGCACAGCCCTGACGTGGCATCCCTCCACTACCAGTGTGCTTTACATTTCCTAAACTGATAAATACATTCACACTACTGTTACATGGATGGCAAAAGTGGCAGACAGGGGCGGGGAGAAGGCGGGGAAGAGGGAGAGCGGGAGGGGGGCCAAGTTGGCGCACCATGGGCCTCTGGATTGTACTTGCCCCCTGGGCTAAAAGTTGCCAGTCAGCCCCTGCAGTAACCAAATGTGACCGACCTGCAATCATCTTTCACTGTTCATTTAAAACTGAGAAGACTAAAATACAGTGGCATGGGATAATGCACTTCCTTTTTTTTTTGTTGTTAATTAACTGACATATGTTTCTTTTTAAAGCAGAACTCCAGGGAAATTTCTGCTTAACCCATGCATTGAGGCTACCCCTGCTCTGATCCTCCGAGCCGGCTTGCTCTAAGACTGGTCCCTTCCACCTCGCTTCTGTCTGGCCTCTGCCTCGCTCCCCTCCACTGCAGGTCTAAGGCCCTGTGTGTCATCATGTTCTATGCACAATGTATGTGCATACACATTCCACTACTGTAGTGGAGGAGACAGGTGAAAGGCACCAGTCTAAGAGCAAGGATCGGGTGAGTGTAACTTTGTTATTTCTGAACCCAGACAAAAACGAGCACTTACCCCTTGCAGTGCAGGGTAGCCCCACTGCAAGGATAAAGAAAAATCTAATTGGAGATCTGCCTTAAGACCCCATTCACACTGAGCTACATTAAAAAAAGCACTTTTTCTACACTGATTTGAGCTGAGCGACATTGAGCTACAGTGCACATTTTGTCGCACTAAGTAGCGATTCTTCTGGCAGTCTATCAAAACCTACTGGGGCCAAATCACACAAAATCCGCTGGAAAAATAGGTCATGTTGGTACGACAAGCTTGAGCTACAAGCTACAGGCGACATTGAGCTGTGAGATGTGAACAGCTCCACTGAAATGCATTGGACGAGCTACACTGAGCGATTTTTGAGCGGAAATCATGCTACACAGCGCTCAGTGTGAATGGGGTCTAAGATTTCCTTGCTACATTTCTTATTTAAGTTTACATTTTATTGCTCTCATAACCCGAAACAATTGCAGTAACACATTATAAGCAATGTATAAAACTTTAAGATTTATAATATATTATATATATTAATTAATATAGTAATATACCTAATCTATTCTGGACTCTTCCACATACTAACATGAATGGTCCTCCCTTCTCCAGCCATCTCATCTTACTGCTTATGATTGCTCATAGAATGCCATTACATTGGACTAAAAGAGGCACAATCCATAGCCTTTTATGCTATAACATTAGCAGATGTGGGATTTCATTTAAACAGGAAATCCCCTTTAAAGCAAAATGTGGCAACCTTCCACGTTCCCTACTAACCTTAAAATCTGAGGAGCTGTATAAGGGAGCAAAGCAGCCAGATATCTTGTGGTCACAGATGTTAATTTACTAAAGTAGAGTATATGTGCTTACGTAAAGTGAATTTTAACTTTGAAAAGTGAATTTTCACTTAGCTTAGAGAATGAACTGAAGCAAAATGAAAATCCATCCACTAGCCTAAGTGAAAAATGAACTTTGCACAGTGAAATTTAAAGTGAATTTACACATTTGCAGCCAAATTGGAATGGAATGGATATTTGACACATGTTCCCTACCTATTTTCCTACACTTGTAGCAAGTCAGTGCTCTCTTTGCTGAAACTGAATACTCTCAATTTACTGTAAACGTGCACAATATAACCCTTTGAAGCTGCAGCTTTCTTGAGCCCACCTTCATTTCTCATCTTGATGATATGTCATTGGCCCAAATCCATACGTCATTGGCCCTTCTCGCATCTTGTATATTTTTCTGCCATCAATCATTTTGTTCAAAATCATTATATAAAAGAACACATCCTCCGCATCCCTGGTACCTAAAACCAGTTAACCAAAGAGCAGAGTGCACAACTAAAGTTTGCAGCACCCAGTGGCCAGCAGGGAGAAGCAGGCACATATAAAGGGATCATAGGGATGTGTTCTTTCATATAATGATTTTGAAAAAGTTTTGAGGCAGAAAGCTGTGATGTTTACAGGAGCTTTCAGGCTCCTCTCACCGAACTCAGAGCAAAGAGCAACAGGCAGACCCAGTGATGACATCACTTGGTCTCAAAGAAGTGCTTCTTGAAAAACATAAGGATTTGATTGAAACATTTTAATTGTTTGCCGATCAGGGTGAGGAGGGAACGAAGGAAGGTATTATACGTGTACACTGCACTTCAGCTTAATAAATATATGTTTAAATTGTTTACCATTTTTCACCTTTTGCTATTTTCAGAAAACTCCCCTACTTTGTAATGTTAGGGAGTGGGCTGGGGAATTATAGTTACCATAATGAACCTTGTATGTACTGTGCTCACAGATCTCTCTATCAGTTGTAAACTAGATTTGAACACTACCCCAACAAAGGGTTAAAGGAGAAGCATGGGGTTAAGGCTTTCCAGCATAGTTCTCCTTAGGGTAACAGGAGGACACAAACTAGCGTCCTCCCGTCACCCTAAGCTCAGTATACCGCGAGCGACAGCTCGCAGTATACCGCATGCTACTGCTGAAGCGGATCCCGACAATTATGTATGGACAATTATGTATGGATCCGCCCAGCTGGGTGAGAGACAGCTGGCTCTGCCTATCTATAGGCAGAGCCAGCTGTACCCGCCCCCTCCCCGTCCGATCCGCCAGTCAGCAATGGCAGATCGGAGCGGGGAGGGGGGAATCCAGCCCCTCCCCTGTCACGGCAGAGAGCTGTGACAGGATCGAGAGGTGAGCGAACAACGGTATGTGTTCGCTCACCTCCCAATCTACCGACCTGTGACAATGAGACTGTCACAGGTCGGCTAGAACTATGAGGTGAGTCAAAAGCACTCCCCTTATAGTTCTCCTTTAAGGATCTCAGGGCTTGTGTTCTCCACTGCATTTTAATAAGATTAACCTTACTCTGCCCCCACTTTGTCCCCCTCCATTTTCACTTTTAAATATTTAAGAATAGCTTGCAGCCTGACCAAAGGCCTGCTCTAAAGAAACAACTGGAAAGGTAAGAAATAGTTTAATTATTTTTAGGTATGCTGAGAACACATAACAATCATATAGTGAAGTTTTCTCAAATTTGACTGAAAAAGTGGAAATACATTTTACGTGAACAGCCTCCATTGAGTGGTCTCCCCTTCCTGCTTCTCTTGTCTCACTATTGGCCAGTGAGGATGCCCAATAGGGAAAGCAGAAAAGTCTTCAATATGGGAAAGCAGAAAAGTTTTCAATTTGTGTTTTTTTACAGGGATCATATTTTCCTTTTGCCCTTTCATTCAAGCATCCACAATTGTCAGTCACTTGATATAGATTCTATTGTTAATGCCAATGATTTCCTTTATCCATGGGTTATATACAACTCACAGAAGTACAGCCTAGGGTTCATAACTCTACCCTACCACCAAGGCTATAGGATGTCATACTTGCCTTTTTTTCTGTTACCAACCTGCTGCTGGATTATCCACAAGAATACATTGACCAGGTGACAACCATCTCCACCATAAAGCAAGATGAAGCATGGGATGAAATGGATAGGTGTCTAATCTCTCAGGGAAAGTCTCCCCGATGGAGCCCCAAAGAGATTAAAAACCCAATGAGTGTTTAAATTATATAATTAGTTTTGAGAAGGCTTGCTTACACATATAAAAGGGGTGAATATACTAATGAAGAAACAAATCAAGAACATACATCCTGTTTACAATAGAAAAGGATCCATGTTATATTTTAGAGTGGAATGACCAACATAAAGTTTCATGTTGGAGTTTACATCACTGAAGACAACACCACTGAACCACCAACTTGACACAGTACCTTGCCTCATACCAAGCTAGCGTGACACACATACATATATAAAATACCTGGTAAGCTCTTCTTTTATCTTCAGAGGTTCATGTGGGTAGAATTTCACTCTAAAGCACATGGTGTATGGTGGATGAGCTGAAACGTTATAAAACAAAAACAAAAAGCATGAGAACAGCGCAGTGTATAGTTGCATGATGAAAATGCAGGAGAGGACTTTTAACAGTTAGTGAAATGGTTTTATTTGCAGTACCAGCCAATGTAGTAAATCAAACATGCCATCATGCTAGGAAAGCTGAATGTGTTTGCTTACATGCTCAGTGATCATAATGTAATGTCAGAAGCAGATATGAGGGTGTGTTTACTTATTTCATATTGAAGTCAGGCATGGATGGTCAGTCCACCCAAAACTAGTATTTGGGGTCTGATGGGTTGAGCCTCCCACTTGCTTACTATACCTCTTGGGCCCTGAGACATGGTTCCTAGGTCTCTTCCCACCTACCTTGGGATTGTAGGTGTTCCAGTCGACCTTTGGTGTTCTCACTCTTCCTTTGAATTCTTTATAATATAAAATAAATTAAAATCTCAAGGGCAGAGTAAGACCCCCTCAGAATGGAGACATAAGTTGCATAGCACCTTAGCATTCAATATCTCACCATGTCCCTGGGGAATATTAAAAAGCATTGGTTGTTTAATGTGAACCTGTGGCCAGGCTATGGACATTCAAATCTTCACATATTTTAACAAGCTTGACATCAGCATTAGAACAAGCCATCTCTGATCTCTGTAGGGATAGGCAATATAGTAATTAATTTTTTTACTCTGACATAAAAGCTCCACTACCTTATTACATCTCACAGCAGAGATTGGTAGCCTAGCAGCCTTCTAATGTAGGAAATTAGGAGGCGCTGTAAGGTGTTTACAAAATAGGCTGTAATCTGACTTCAATGTCTCTGTTGCGATTTTTGAGGACGATTTGCTCCAAAGCGCCTGCAGCTAGAAAGGTCAGTGATGGCTAGTTTAAAGCTATTTAACTGCTTGTTAAGGTTATTTAAACATATTAAAGTCCATAGCCTGACCATGGGGTTACTTTAAATCTCCAGCATCTATCACAAACTGAAATTTTTACGGTGGACTGACCCTTTAATCACTTCTAAGAAAATGGATTGTGTCTCTGTACTCTATCGTATCACAGCATATACAGTATGTTTCCTGTGGCATTTAACGTACGTGTATACATTTATCTAATATGATCCTTTTAGATAAATGCATTACAGTATAGTTCAGATACAGTTTCTGTACACATATACAAGCCATTGGCTTCACAGTTGCAATGTGTTTAAGATGAGAGGCACATTACATCTGAAAACTGGCATTGCTTTACATAATTATAGCTAGCTATACAAGTTCATCAAATACTATTAAGATTTGTATGGACTTTCACTCTAATGGCATTAATAGTGTCAGCATTATCTAACTGTCAATGCCATTACACTCTTTGCATGGCTTTAAACAGTATTGTCAGTCATCCCATTCAATCATCTCATTAAATCACTAATAAGCACCTATACAGTCTTTAGTCCTAACTAAGAGTAAAGGTACATGAATTACATAATGTCTCATAAGAACACCAAACAGAAAAATCTAAACTATGTCAGGGTGCAGAACCCAAATTTTAGAGTGGTATGTGGATCATATTAATAGCATGTCAGTTACAGCACCCTCAGGATGAGAAAACTGTCCGCACACAAGTATTGCTCTACAAGTAAAACCTCTGCTTTGCTCTTGTCAGAACCTTCTCTAATAGACTCTGGTTGGCCCTTTGGCAGAATTTCTCTTTCAATAGCGACCTCAATATTGAGTCAACAGATACCTTATTAGCCCCCAAATTTTTAAATGTTCTTTCAAAAATATTCTTTCCTACCATGTCAAAGGCCCTTTAGGCTTGGGGTGTTTTTAGAGGAGTCCTAGTGAAAGGGATGTTTCTTCCAAAAGAGTGAACTTCATATTGATGGACAATTTAGAACACTAAGAGCTCGGGAGAGCTAGCAATCTAATTTGCTACTATGTGCAAATTACCTAACCCCTAAGGGGGAAAGTAGATTGCAGCACAGCTGAAGCAGGAGCAGTGCAAGAAACTCATAACATAATTTAAGCCCAACCATCTTTACTGCATCCGACCAACTCAGGTAGAACATGAGAAGAATAGCAAAGCAGGAATGGCCGCAAACAAGACAATAAAGTGACATGTTTACACATGCACTCATCAGATAAAGGCATGCCTATGTCATGGAAATTATTTTTATTTTTTTAAACAGGTTACAATATGTGATAATGCTATTTAAGAGTTGTGCCAACAAAAAAAAAAACATTCTTCTGGACTTGATTTTTAGCGGAATGCAGAACTTAAAATAAACCTATGGTAGGAGAATATGGAAGTTGTCTTCAACCTCTCCTTCTGGAAATGCGAGTTTCCCAGAGGCTCGGCTGTTCCTGTGGCTTCAGTACTTTATAAGTCACTAACCTTAACAAGTATGTAAAAGACTTCACTCTTACTTTCTAATCTAAATGCTTGTTCCAGGTCAGTAACTCAGGATAACTAAAGCCAGATATAGCCAGGCAACCAGTAATGTTGGAAGGAGGTCAGCAATGGAATCCTCCATAGTCCAAACACTGCATGTTTCATTTACAACTGAACTGCATCCAGCAATAAATCAATATTAATCCCCAAAGGGTTTTCTCGTGAGGTGATAAAAACCTTACTCAGTTGAGGAAATCATCTGCTAACGTTACTTAAAGCAGAATCTGGAAAAGATTTTAAAATGTCTAATGTCAGCCCTAGACAAGGGGTTAGCTTACAATTCATTGAAAGTTCAAATCTCTGCACTGTCCTGTTTCACCAGAGTCAGATGAGCAGAAGAACTGTTAAACATTTGATTAATCAGCAATTAGATTACGTCCACCTTTGAAAGTCTTTTTCCTTCATGGGATTTGAACTTGGTTCTGAGATCTTTATTTCATTCATCCTCCTTTCAGCCCATTGGAAGAATGTTCTTTATGGTTTTTGACTAAAACTGTTTCTAACCGCCATTACATCTGCCAGGTGAGTCTCAAGACTTTATACCCTATCATGCCAAGAGCCATTCTGCATCGTCCTGTTGGATGCAGTAATCCTACGCCCTTCTCCAGAATTCCTAAAGTAGCATCTGTGTTTCATTTGGACTGGGAGACGATTCTTCCAGCCTTTCGTGGAGAGTCTTCAGGGCATGCGGGAGATCACTTTAAATTTCTGGACATGGTCCAGCTGTTTTTGTCATATGTACAGAAGACATGAAATATCAGGAAAACTGATAAACTTTGTATTTTACCGGGCAGACTAAAGAGGGGAATAGTGCAAGCTCACTTGACGAGGAGAGTGTCAACTTCATGGGCTTCTTATGCTAAAGGGTCTGTGGAGGATATCTGCAAGGTGGCAGATGGAGTTCCTGAAATACGTTTGTGTGCCATTACAAGTTGGATTTAGCTTCAGCTCAGCTGACTTGGGTGATTTTTTTGCTGTTTCCCTCCCTAGTTTTTGGCTAGCTTGTTACGTCCCGCAGTATGCTGACATGAGGTGAACCAGGAATATAGAAAATTGTTACCTGATACTTACTGTAATTTTCATTTCCTGTTTCATCCTTATGTTAACATATGTTCTCTCCCTGGTGTCCTTACACTAGCTTTTGTTAGAGTACAAAATCTTAATAGGCAGGTTCTCTCTTTATCTTCTTGTTAAGGGTGGTCCTGAGGGGTCAAGTAAGTGGAGTTGACCCTTAGTATGCTGCAATAAGGATGAACCAGGAAAGGAAAATTACAGTAAGTATCAGATAACAATTTTCCATAATATACAAAGCTGAATTACTCAGAGGAACAACACAAACCGTTCCCTCTCTCCTAACCTTTATGAATTTGTATGGGTTTTCATTTACAAAATAGCAGTCAACATTAGAGCAGGCTGTACTGGGCTTCCTTAATAGAAACCCCAACAGGTTCTGCAAACAAAGTATCATAGTAGTAGTGGCATCACAAGCGGGTTGCGTGGGGTGGGGCCCGCAGCGGGTGACACCTTTTTCCCTCTGAAAAGTTAGGCACTCAGTCATGGACCGAGAGCCTGACAGTTGCACAAGAGAGGAGGGGACCCGGTGGCATACCTTATCCCGCAGGGTGAATGTCCCCTCCTCTCTATGCTGGCATCCATCAAAAAGATGGCCGCTAACAGGTAAGCGCAGCGGGGTGTCACCCAGCGGCTGCCCCGGGTGACACCACGCCGGGGGACGCCCCTGCATGGTAGTGCTTTGTATTTAGATATTCAGATTCAGACTATCTCCTAACTTTTAACTGTTCATTATGAAGAGAGTCATACAAGTAGATAGCCTCATGTACAGCAAAAACGAATGTCTTTGTCCTGACAATTGTTTTTATGCAGTTGCTGTTTTGCTGCACAGTGTAATAATTATATTTTGAATAACACTGTTTTTTCATCAATTAACAGTTTGAGCAATTTTGTATTATTCTCCTGAATATATTCCAGCACACAATACAGAAAAGCCTTTGAGCAAAACATTGCACTTGTTATTTAAATATAAAACTGCACATAGTGACATTGTTTCGTCAGATTTATATTTAGGTTTTGCATACCAAAAAAAACTCAGAAAGTAGCAATTCACTCACATGCACGGTGTTTATGTGTAGATAATTACAGAAATGCTATAGTTACCAAGTATATGCTTAACTTTCTGTATTAGCAAAGTGTAAATTTAGAGTCTCTCCCTACAATTATATTTAAAATTATACACCATGCTAAAAGCAGATCCATTTGTCTCTTGTGTTCAACACTGTGCAAGTCCTTTAGCTTTGTTCTTCAGCTTTATTCTTCAAATTATGCTAATTAATGGTTATTTCTTATTTACCTACTTAACACCATAGGAACTTTTTATTCAACTTTTATTTTTGTTTAATTTCATACAATTTTAAGCCAAAAATAGATGAGTGAAAAAATCTAATGAACCTCAACCTAATGCAATAATAATTCTTAATGTAATGTATTCAGTTGTGTAGATTAAAAGAGAACTGTGGGGTAAATGTTTTTCCCCATAGTCCTCTTTAGGGCCATGGGAGGACATATACTAACCTCCTCCTGTGACCCAAAGCTCAGTATTAATTCCAAAAGATGTCACCAGCACTCCAAAAGTAGATTCAATATATTTTAATGACAACGGTCATTCAAAATCACAAGTACTTTCGGGGCCACGTTGGGTCCCCGTCATCAGGCTCAGAATTCTCATCAGGCTCATTAATTCCAAAAGATGTCACCAGCACTCCAAAAGTAGATTCAATATATTTTAATGACAACGGTCATTCAAAAGCTCAGTATATCGCGGCTATTGCCCGCGATATACTGAGAGTGTTGCAGCAGGGAGACGGATCCCGACATTACTGTCGAGATCCACCCAGCTGCGAAAAACCCATGAAGTGAGCGGATCGGTGCATGTTTCTGCTCACTTACCGATCGATTGAGCCGACCTGTGACAGCTTCTTTGTCACAGGTTGGCTCTAACTATGAAATCACTCACCTCATAGTTCTCCTTTAAATTATTCAATAGTCAAGATAACAAAAATAAAAATGTTTAAAAAAACTGAAATATTGTTTATGATTCCTACCCCAGATATCTTTTAATACCTTTTATAAACAAAATCAATAAAAGAAATTGAAAAAAAAAATGAATGTTGGACTGTGAATAAAAAAGTAATGAAGCATACTGTTATTTGTATTATACTGTATTGAACATTATTTAATTTTATTATGGGCACAGAGCTATTCAGGTTTAATTAAAATATTCACCATGTTTGTTTTGCCTGAAGAGACTTTTTACCAGATGCATTCTGTTCTGTTATAGGCATGGTCCATAATTAAACTTTTTTTTCCAGCATAGTGGTTACAATTAGAGTGTTCTCCTGTGATCCTTTTAAATCCAGGCTACATGGATATATAGAAACTTTTTATACATAGAAAGTTTACTCTTTAGTCACGCAAGGTACCCCAGTTCTCTGCTGCTGCTGTTATAGGCAGAAATATGTGTGAATCTCCTATTTAAGTAGACCATCCAAACATGGAGAGTGCCAGAGAGTGGGGCTACAGACCTGCCAATTTTGTTGCCATGTAGGGAACATAATGGAGTCACTATAAAAACCTTCTACTGTTTAATACTGGACATTAAAAAGTATTGTCTGTATTCTTGTGTTTGTGGCCTGTGTTCTTCACCTCACTGTTTAGGACCATCTATGACAGCCTGTGAGTAAATGGAGATAGGAGTAAAAAGAGGGGGTTGAGCAGGATGGTAGCTGGAAAGGAGGGCTCGGCAAAGCAGTTTGCGGATGATATCCTGTGGTCTTGTTAGTACCTTCATCTAATAATCACTGTGATCTGAGGCAGGACACGATGAAAAATTGAGGAGCCAGCCCCAGTATAGTGGAGTATATGACCAAGTAGAATCACATTATAGACATTTTTTAGGCGTATACCACCAGTTATTATAGATTGTATGTTTAGTAATATGCTTAATTCAATCTATGGAAGACCTTGTACAAAAGTATTTACTATTATATTATTTAAATATAGAAATATAGCTGCAGAATATCTGGTCAAGCATTGATATGCATTGGTATTCCTAAACTGTACACTCTGCATTATCCACACCTGACTCGTGCTCTGTGTGTTACAGACTTCTGATCCCTGCGGGTTAGGCATGTCTGACCCCTGAATTTATACTCCTAACCACTTCACTCCAAGAACATTATATACTCTAGAGTCTAGACCAGTCGTGGCGAACCTTGGCACTCCAGCTGTGCCAAAACTACAAATTCCAACATGCATCTGCCTCTGGGAGTTATGTCTGTGGCTGTCAGAGCCTTGCAATGCCTCAGCTGGAGTGCCAAGGTTCGCCACCACTGCTCTAGACTATGCTAAAATTAAGTGCTTCTTTAAGGTAGGCTGTGTGCAGAAAAGCATATGTAACAGAAGACTTTATTTATTTATTTTAAATGATTGTGCTGAGGTTTGTATGTGTATGTTAGATTCACACTTGTGGCACAGTAATTAAAGCAGATATTGTAGATACAAGGACAGTTACATATTTGTGCTATGTATACGTGAGTAGGCTCAGGTTTTATTTAACCATGGCCTTTTATACCCCTCCCACTATTAGCGCAATTTGGCCACACCCACCACTTAGAACAGCGCGCTGCCTCATTTCTCTCCTCTGGGTGCCCGAAGCATTTCACAATGCTAGCAAAGGCCCAGGTTTGAATTATACACAACTTCACCCATTTGCTTTGCTTTTAATGATAGCTGCTATTTCTCTGTACTTAAAAAACAAAAACTAAGTGGCGCTACAACCTGAAAGAAAGTCCTTGATTATGACTATTTGGCAGTGGGTCCGTGTATGGCAGAAGTTTAATGTGATAATCAATTAGTGGAAAGAAAATTTGATTGGAAGGAAAATTATTCATTCGGGGAAGAAGATGGTTGTCCTGTGGGGGAGGTAATCAAATGTCCTGTACAATGGTATTGTTGTAAACTTCTTAGCTGGATGGTTCACATGGTGTGGAGGCTGCATCTGTAGATGGGTGTAATACCCTGATGGAATCATGAGACAGCAAAAAAATAAAAACACCTCAGCTCTGGCACCTGTGTACCCCTTATGGACAAGAGCAATTATTACATTTCTGCTATAGGCCTGTTAATTTGGCAATATTGTCATTTAGTAAGCTATAGTAATACATGCAATATTTGGACAAACAAGACTATCTAATGGTGACATTGTCCAGCAAAAAATATTGTCTCTTCTATGTAATCTATTGACAAAAATATGTAAAAGTAATCAAAAAGTGCACTGTTAGTTTAAAACAAATTACTGTAAATAACAAGTATATTATATTTATAAGTATATTACAAGTACAAGTATATTCTATAATTTGTCTCGTTAATAATGACACTAAAATTAGTTTTTGGTACAAAGCATTGCAAAGATACGTACAAATAAAATAAAAGGCATTTTTTAAAATGCAACACTAAAAAAAACTACCAAACAAAACAAATAATAGGAAAAAAAATAGATATTTAGGGATGTGCACAGCTGTAATTTTTCTCAGTATAGAATCATTTTTCAATGGATCTAAATGCAGGTGTATTCTCTTCTATAGACCCATATATACAACTGTGTAAATATCAGTAAACTTGCACTGTGTTCAGACCTGTAGAAATAATTAAATAATCTGCATCCACGGTGTATAGACTGTATTTTACTTCGTATGCATGTAAACATTTCTAACTAATAACTCATTTTTACATGCATACAGCAGACAATGCAAATGCCCTCTATTGGAGCTCCTTGCAATCTAGTGTCCTTCTTTGCTTGGCTGCAGGGAGCTCAAGCCACCTAGCATCCTTCATTGGTAGAGCACAGGCAGCTTGGAAGGTGTAAAAGGGTAGGAGGAGGTTGATCAGGAAGTTGTTGTCACTATTTGCTTCCAGGGTTTTGGGGATGCATGGGCAAGGTGAAGATGATATGAAGATAGGAGCGATACATGGAGATGGATGCTCTACGGACTTGGATCCATTTATTTATTAACCCTCCACACACTTCCTTTGAGGGAGTATCAAGCCAATATTTGAAATTCCTGTGAGATGTAAGAAGTCATCAGGTGATTTGCTTCCAAGCACCAATACAAGACTCAAATTTTGGCAGATTCCTGCTGAATTGGAGAAAATGAGAGCCACGGGTGGTCCTATTAGCACCACCTAGCACAAAAAACGTTGGCAGAAAATTCAAAGGAGCCATGTGGAAATATGCCAGCCAAATAGCAATTGCATCCAGTCAGATGCAGCCACTGTTTGGGTATTTAGACAGCTGGGACAGTAGGGAAGCTTCCTCCAGCCACACTGCTTAGCAGGGCTAAACAAGAGAAATCTATGCAAGTATGGCTAACAATATTAACCACTTCAAGACCAGGTGTTTAGACCCCCTTCCTGGCCAGGCCATTTTTCAGTATTCAGTGCTGCGTTTATTCCGTCATGCAACGCTGGACTGAAATGCATTTTATACCATTTTTTGGGGACAGGTAGAGCTTTATTTTGGTGGTATTTAATCACCACTACGGGTTTTATTTTTTAATTTTTTTTTTATTCTTTTTTATGTGTAACTTAAAACATTTTTTTGGGGGGGGGACTTTAATTTTTTTTCCACTAAACTTTATTGCTATCACATACGGGGGCTAATAAAACCCCCCTATGTGATAGCAAAATATGTGACAGGTCCTCTTTATGGAGACATCAGGGGTCTCCAAGACCCCTAATGTCACCTAGGACAACAGTCCAGGACAAAATACCTGATTTGGAAAAGTTCTCCAATTCAGCTCACTTTCCAGTTCAGCTATGTTGTCCTAGATTGTTCACTTCTCCTGCCTTCTCCAAACTCTTCTCCCTTTTCTGAATAACCCTGTTAGTTTCTGAAATTCAGTCATTTTGTTCTTGAAAAGAGTCAATATTTACCTTGATAGCAGAATAAAGTATACACTCGACATGAAAAGGTTGACCTTTTAAATAAGTGAATCATATCAAAGCCAGGATGAAAACAACCCATTTTACAAGACACAGTGCAGCAATGTCAGACAGCTTGTTGTGTTGGGAGTTCTGTATCTTTGCATGTGTCAACATAACCGGAGCTGACAAGCTAATTCAACTGTTCTGGGATTTACAGATAATCAAAATATATAAATGCAGAAACTCGATTTGAAAACTTACATTTCATTTGTTTGACAATGGGTTTGTTAGGATCAAGCCAGTGCTGGAATGGAAAAAGAAACACACATGTCAATGCTAAATATATGATACAAACAAATAATTGACATTAAAGAGTAAAGCATTCATGATAAAGCTCAAACTGGTTAATTGTTCCATCTTTTTTGGGGGGTTAAAGTTTGACTTTGACACTGATAGGCAACAACTCTGAGTACTGGCACTGAGGCCCCTCCCATGCACTAGGGGATCATTACAGAACAAGCAGAGGGAGTTATTGCTGCAGGACTTGTAAGGTCAAATGGTTCTATCATGACTACCAATCCCTTTAATTACTGTAAATTTACAATGGGTTCTGCACACGGCAGTCAGAAAATGTTCCTCTTTCTTTCATCCCCCATTCAATTCTCTCACATGCCTAGAAAAATAGTATTGCACTTCCTGTGCCTAGGCATCACTTTGTCTTGAGTCCCATAATTGGACAGTACTTTAAATTTTCAGTGTGAGATCATCTAAGGCATTGCTGCTTGTGACTGCTAGTCTCACAAGATTTGGTAATGTTACTACTTGCTTTTATTGTTGGAGAGAAAGCTGTACAAGAGGAACTGTTCAGCACTGCTGCTTCTGTTTCATTCATTCTTTGGATCTGTGCTTTCTGCACATCTACTCCTGCTTCTTGATCAAAAGTCATGAGATCACCAGTCATCAACCCTGACATGAGAAAGCAAAGCCCTATCTACCAAGATTGCCATCTCCACACAGAGTCACTATGTTAAGACAAATTATGGTGAGACCGTAATAAGAAAAGATCAGCAGCTAGGAGCCCAAAGGAGAATTGCTAAATTTCTAAGACCCTTAATGGAAGATATATTTTTTTTGCATTGACTAGATACATATTTAAGTGCATCCAAATTTCTAAATATGGCATGGGAAAAATACCATTATACTGTACTCAAAATATAACCAAACAACTGTACTCAACTAAAACCAAATCAAAACCACCACAAGCTGTACTACCACTACAATATGTATGGGGGTGTTTTTTTATTTGTAATGAGGTTTCCATACAATCATACCACAGGAACCATGCACTAGGAAACTATCTGCGTATTCATTGCATGCTCCTGTGTGATTAAATCCTAAAACTCCCTCATTTATAGTGATGTTGATTAACAGAAGATTTGTACAGAAATAGGAAATCCTAAATACACATGTGTGTTCTGAGAAATTAGGGGGGTTATTCACAAAGGTAGCCGAAGGATCAGCTGTAGCTCCAGCTGATCCTTCGGCTAGCTTCGGCCCCAGGACCCCTTCGGTTCAGTAGAACCAAAGGGCTGCTGTACGGGCTATTCACTATATGTACAGTGACAGGTCCTCTTTATGGACTATAACAGCTAGAGAAATGACAGACTGAAGGCAGGAGTAATGTAATACACATAATTTCCACATTCAGGGACCGGAGGAGAGATCAGTAAGTGGAAGAGTCCTGAACTCCCCCCATCTCAGTACACGGAGCCGCCGTTCCGGTCCCGAGGGACAGTGGAGCCCAGCATAGCCAGCAGTTGCTTATTATGAAGGCAGCTGATGGACAGATCGTACATACCCAAATGTTGCCTAGTCTAATGTAATTTAAATGTGTAGAGTACAGTAGATGTAGTCTTTCTGGGAAAATATTTGGGCAAATCTTGGTAGATAACAGGATGCCTTTTAATTCATCTGCCAAAATTAGCTCTCCATGGTGCTGAAGCTGAGGGTTAAAGTGTATTTCCACTTTTCATGTCAAATTCCCACTATAGGTTTGTTACGTGTTTTCATTCACACAGCATACCTAATTAAAAAAATATATATATACTTTTTACCTTGTCTTTGGATCAAGATTATACACAGGACTGCAAGATACACTATATTCCAAATATATCCAAATACTTAACCCTTTGTTAATGCAGACAGTGTTGAAATCTAGAAATATAGTTAACTGGTAATGAGATATGTCAGCACACTGCAGACAGGGTTCATTGTGGTAAACATTAACTCCACAACCCCCACACATCCCAAAAGGGGGGAACCTAGGTAGGATTTTTAAGTAAAAAGCACTTAATGCTATGAGAATGGTTATGCTATGAGAATGGTTATGCTATGAGAATGGGAACAAGTAACAAACATGAACATGTTATCCCAACTTGGCTGCAAAATGGAAATACGCTTTCAGTGTAATTTTTTAAGGTGAACTCTATCCCTAGATGGAGATTGCAATGTGATACTGAATCATGGCCACTAAATGAGAATGGGAACAAGTAACAAACATGAACATGTTATCCCTATGTTTCGAGTTGCTATATTTTTCATATCTAGTGTGGTCCATCATGGCTTGCCACTACTCATTTGGCATACAAATTGATAAATGTCAGAAACCTCTGATATTCCACATTTAACACACTAACAGCTAATACTGTTTCATAAACTATAAGGTGACATCATTGAAAAACACTGTTCCAATTTATTTGGCATATTGCAGGTTTCTATTTTTATAATGTACATACCCGCTGCTTTTCTGGGTCAACAAAGCGAATTCCAAAGTAGTCCTTTTCTAACAAGTTGTAGTGGTTGTAGATATAGTCAATAATAAATTGGCCTTTGGTTTCTTTCTGGAAAAGAAAATGCACTTATAAATTTTAAGAACACAATCTGAGGTTTATCAGGTCGGCATTTTAAACACATAAAAATTACTATACAAAGTATTTTTAGGAAAAATAGGAGATATAGGGCTTGATTTGCTAAAAGAAATAGGCTGTTCATTTTGCCAGAGAATTTTCCCTTAGTAAAGGTGCCCATACACCTATTGATTATCGTTCGGAAGTCATCCACAAATGGTCTTTCGAAGGATAATCGATCACTTGATGGGAACCCAACAATTTTTTTTACTGCACTCCTGGCCAAATTTTCTTGAAGGGTGAGGCTGGAAAACGTATTTCGAATCGAACGAAAAATCGATTGGAGTTAGTATTGCTAATGAATGATTATCAAAACAACATTGGCCTGTGCTTGATGGGCTATTTGAGCTAGAATCGAAAGAGGGTTCTTGGCAGCAACGAAAATTCCCGAACGAAAATCGCAAAGTGTGTGGCCAGCTTTGGGCTTATTGAAGAAGGTGAAAATTCACTCTGCAAAGAATACTCAATCATGTAGTATTTCCAAAATGGTATTCTTAGTTGTACATGACTGGATGATGGAAGCCAGCGAAAATTCCTTTGCAAAGAGATCAGCCAATTTGTCTTAATTAAATCCACCCAATACCATCCAGCTGCCTAACCACAGAACAAGAAGGTCAAGGTGCTAGGGACTGGGTGACACATATTCAGGCTTTTTTTATTAGGGTAAAGCACAAAGCAATGTGCAAAGTGAAGTAATCATAGCAACATATCACATTTCATCCTTTGTCAATATAGAGCAATCATACCAGTTGAGAAAAGATTGCTTGCTAATTAATTGCTATCGTTTACTGCAATTAATGTTAAACAAATTCGATTGAGATCAATTTAGAAAAGCATACCACATGCACTAATTTTATTACCACAAGTTATTTGCTAATTTTAGCTTTGGATATAGTAGGAAAGGGTTAAAACCCATCCGTTTTTGCTTTGCTGTCTGTGCCTGTTTGAGGGGACTTCCTGTCTAGAAACAGAACGTGAGAGTAAATTTCTACAAAGTGCAGGGAATTTCCTTTAGGGACACAGACTGCAATAAAACCTGAAAGAGGTTCTAACACTTCACTAACCTAACAAAAAAAAAATAGTTTTGACTATACATATTCTTTAAGGGCTCACACAAGCGTGCACGTCCATACAGCGTGCACACGCATGCAAAGACCCGATCCCAGGCGGGACAGGTGCTGTGTGTAATTGCATGCAACATCCCGTACCTCCCTGTGGGAGAAGTCACACGCAATCCCGAAATTGCACATCCATGCGGGTCTGGGTGCCCACACTTGGACACTTGGACAAACATTGTCTGCGTCCAAGTGCGGGCACCCAGATCCACACGCATGTGCAGGTTTGGGTCTACTTGTAACCAAGTCTAATTGTGTGCAACCGCTTACTACAATAGGGAGGTACAGGCTGCTGCATGCAATTGCACGCAACATCTGTCCCTCCTAGGATCGGGCCTTGGCATGGGTGTGCACGCTGTATAGATGTGCATGCCCGTGTGAAAGCCGTTTAGGGTCATGCACGAGGCTGATTAGGGCCAGACACCACTCAAATCAGTGTATTTCTGGTGCTTCTAATCACCGGCGGACAGAAGCCTGCAGAAATCAATGACAGGCCGACACTGTTCACGGCTGTCTGCATGTAATCGCTCATGCAAAGATTACCTGCAGTTAGGGACATATGTACACCCCTGAACACAGACAGTTGGCTTCCAGGGACGTACATTGGTCCCTAGCTGCAGGTAATTGTTGCATATGAACAGGGGTGAGCAATGTCAGACTGTCATTGATTTATACACGCTTCCTGTCTGTGACTGATCGAATGCACCTGGCCGTACCCACACCAGAAATACGATCTGGGCTTCATATGGCCCTAATCATCCACGTTCATGAACCCTAAAGGTGGCCATACACCTTACAACCATTGTACAACTTTATTTGTCCCCGACATCTCATCCTTGTTCAATTTTCGTTCAAATAGCCCATCATGCACAGACCAATGTAGTTTGCGATTATCGTCGTCAGCACCACTAATTGGCTGAATTTCATCGATCGAAAGAACATGTTTTCGTTTGCGCATGTGCGGTTTTCATCTTACGGTTTTTGTTGTACGAAAACGCTTTAGTTTCATGTGTAAAACGGATCAGCTTATAAGGGATCACAGTAATAGCTACTTTATCTTCTTTAACAATTGTCTTCGTGTTCGGAGAAACACTGCCCTCTCCAGTTCTATACCTTAAAGAACATGGGAAGTGTGTGCTTTACAGACAGAGATTAGAGCTAATCACTGCTCATAGTCTTTAGATCATCTTGTAACTAGCATCCAATGATATCCAGGAAAAATCATTTGCTGATCTGCCAAAATATGTGATAACAATGTTTAGGGTACATAAAAAAAAATGTTTTCTACGTGCCCTGTTAACACATGCAGTTCTGTGCAGAAAAATCCAGTGTAATGGACACAGTGGTAATCAAGCCCTCAAGCTTTTCATGGTGCTCATGGGCAGAAGACCTTTATGTCACATGATTCTATGTTATAGAACCTCTCCTTCTGAAAACTACTGAGGGAGGTGCTTGGAACCAGGGAACACACCTTGCTCAGATTTAATACTATTCTAAAATGAAGGAAGCTGGCAGCCACAGGAATGTAATAATTACAATATAGAAAATGCAGATTGGCTGCATCCCCAAAATGGCAATGCAAAATTGTTTATAAGTTAAAGTCAAAATATTTTTAACCAATTTCAAATGCTGAACAAATCAAGGCAATGGATGCTGCTCCATGGTTTCAAAGTTTTACAGGGTTATTCACTAAAGGGTGAAGAGTTTGGAGAAGACAGGAGAAGTGAACAATCTAGGACAACATAGCTGAACTGGAAAGTGAGTTGAAATGGAGAATATTTCCAAATCAGCTATTTTGGCCTAGACTGTTCACTTCTCCTGCCTTCTCCAAACCCTTCACCCTTTTGTGAGTAGCCCTGTTAGTTTCCTGCAGAATCAGTTGGTCCCCTGAGCACTGGCCCTAATACCCTGTTTTAGGGTGGCTTCTTTCACTTGTCTTACAAGCACAAACAAGGGTAGCTTTGTAGGACCCTACACGCAGACACAGCAGGGCCAGGAACGCCACTCACTGCTTTCTGCTCCTCCTTCTCCCTCTTCTCTTCTCCAAGCTAGTAGACCAACAGATTGCTGGAGACTGGTCTGTCCCTTGTGATCTTGTACTGGACAGGAAGTTCAGGGGAGTTGAGATGAGCGAGTAGGAGCCAGCTGTTTGGAAACATGATGACTGTAAGTGCTTGGGTAAAAAATGAAATAAACACTTTGCTGTGCAGTTTCTATTTGTTAGATCTGGACCCATTACTGAAAAATAGCTGGAGAATTTAAAACTATTTTAAGTGTGTCTCTAGAAACCTATTTTGCCCAAAACTGTTATTTAGGTTTTGGGTGGGCAACAGTGAAATGAATCATCTGGTATTTCCCAAGTTTAAAGTCATAGCATATACTATCCTGGTATAACATCAGCATTGTACTAGGAATACATGCTACTTTTGTTTTTTATAATGTTATCAAAGCTTACTTGAAAAAAATCCCTTTTATGAAGTGAATGCTGCTTTCTGTCTGCCCAACACTTTGAACATCTTTCTGGGTTCCCAGTGTGCTTTGCATCTCTTTCCCTGCTGACTACATATCCCATCATGCATTGATCCCAGCATGCAGTGATGATGTTACATTGTTCAGACGTTAAGTTGAAGTTCCGAAAGCAGACTCTGTGAGGTGTGACACGAGAAAGTGCATATTCACAGGCCACAGTGAAATTGTACATCCATCCTATAGGCATCTTCAGTAAGTTTACAAAGTTTGATATGATAAGACATTTGGAAACGGTTATTAGGAGTGTTACAGAACTTGTGGAAATTCAATAAAGAAACACATATTTATTTTATTTTATATATTTTAGTTTTTGAAACAACATAAACCCTAGTTTGGATTTACCAGGCATAACCCCACTGGAGCAAACAGGGAAAGCAGATCAGCAGAAGAGTCCACCTCATCTCCTGACTGATTAATGGCTCGCGTATAATGTACAGCTGAAGTCATCCCACAAATCCCTTAAGCATGGAGCAGGCATATGGTGAGTGAATTAAAACGATTTGGACGTTTGTTTTGTGCTTTGGTATTTACAGGATTTCTTAGGCAATTAAAAAGCTACGATTTCCCAATAAACACCGACTTATACTGAGTGATGAAATATGGTATAAAAGTCTTAATCCCTTTGATGGCATGCTTGGCACAAAGGAAGTTATGTGAGCAAAATGTCTGTGCTGTTTAATCTATATTTTCCCTCCTGCAGTATGTAACACCTACCACCAAACCCAGAAAACAAACATTCCTTAAAGGGCAAAAAACATATATTACAAGATAACCTATATAAAATCATTGATAACAAATGTGTAAATGCTTCATGAGGCTACAAGAAGAAATGTTCCACTTCAGATATCATGCCGGATTGGGAATAATCTGATGTAAATGGACACATGTCCGTTTACATCCGACTCCTCATAGATCGACATGGGGTCTGGCAGTTTTAGTTCTTTGCCATGTGACAAGATGGAGGGAAAAAAGATGGAGGGAAAAACTGGACTAACGCGGATGTCACAGCGGAAATGGATGTTACAGCTCTGATCCTCCTGATTAGCCCGTGTGAAAGGGGCCTAAGCTTTCCATAAGCCACCGATATACTTTAACGGTATGTAAACCCTAACAATTAGCTTTTCCTATACACTCCATTTTGGTCTGTTAAATATTACAGAGTTTTATTATATTTGTTTGATAAGTGAATCTCTATATCTCTTCGGGTCAGGTGGGGGGGGGTGGGGGGCGGGCAGCAGGCAGCAGGCAGAGCGGTATAGCCGCACAATGGTTGCAGTGTGCCTGTGCCCC